TTTGGTCATATTAATTTCGGTACCTAAAGGGAGCCGAAGTCAATACTGTGAACGCAACTCAGAGAACGCCAAGTTCGATCATACATTCTCATTATATTTTGAAAATGCATTAACAATGATTATTACTTCACTAACGTCGCTTGTGTTGTGCCGATATGTACTTGCGAACCTTTGCCATATCCCCTATAAAATAAAGGAGGTCAATTGTGCCAGTATTTGCATACTTGGTAACTGTCCCCCGCATGTGATCGAGAGCTGATAATTAAATGCGCTGATTGCTCGTAGGAATTTTGTCTCAAATTAGTGTTCAGTATACCATAAACTTCACTCGGGAAAAAATAAATTGGCTTTTGTGAAAAAATTTTTTAAATGTCTGTACGTGCTACAAAATAGTTTTAGCCGGGGCGAACTCACAGTTGTAATACAATTTATTGCAATATATGTCACCAAAACCGACCAAATAATCATTCTTGTTATATTGCCTGATCCCTTCACCAAATTAACAGAATTCCTTTTTTATTTTTTTACGATTGAGAATGCACGAGCAAAAACAAAACTGTATCTGAATGGAAAATCTTGCTATTGAACCAAATTATGTGTTTCAATCAGAGTGCGAAGTATGCATCGATTATCCCAATCGAGAAAGTGTTTGCAGAAAGTGTGTGTACTCAACAGGTATTAAATCATGAGCAGCACTAATTGCAGCGTTTTTTCAACATTATTTTAGAGATAAGAAAGAAGTTCAAACATGTAATAGTTTTGGCACACAATGGACAGCTTACGACCATCAATGTATGTTTGAATATATATTTTAACCAAAACTCCAGTTCAAACCAGAAATATTAATTATGAAGGTTCAAAAATAATTCCCTGAGTTATGAATTAATGTGAAACTGTTAGACTCTTTATACTATTTTCCCATGTCCCTCGCCAAGGTTACCAAAAGCGTCGGTTTAACAGACGATTTTCGAAAAGGATTTTCTTTCGCATCACTTTAATACACCCGAAAATCAAAATTTAGTGTGACCGTATCCCGATATGAAGTATTATTAATCCAATGCTATGAAAGACCGACCCGAAAGCAGATAAATTGATTTAGGTTGGTACACCGAAAATAAAGACAACATCTTTGGATATGCAAAAGGAAATTGTCTCTTATGCATATTCCGATGTAAATATATTTAACGCTCGCCTGCCTGAAATTTCGAGAATTATTAATTTAAATCGGAATGTGTGTCGATTATTACCAGAGGCATGTTACGATTTGCCAGCGCATGTAATAAACTGTTTCGTCGTAACTTTATTTGAAAACAGACACGGATCGGTTGATCCTAGACAGGGATGATCGATACCGCGATAATCATCAAAAGTAGCAATTCACTGGTTAATATGGAGGAAAAGTGCGAGGAATAGACATCTGCACGCTGCCAAACAGAAAGAAATCGTCATCGGTGTTAGCTCTGGTTGATGGTATTGTCCACAAACAACATCAGGTATTTGAAGTGATGGCGATGCATTTTATCATGGTGTGTAAAATGTTTGAAAAAATGATCGCCGACAAACCTATACACAGTTAACGCGCTACAAAACGATGGAATTTTAAGATACGAAAAAATACCCTTGCAAAAATCAATCACCTTAATCAACTAGGTTACGAGGTAATAGTAAAGATGGGAATTGTGAACTTTTTAAACAAGATACAAAACCCCAACATAAATAAGTATGTGGTGCTGAAACAACCCTTGGTACATTTTGCTCCATTTAAACGCGCGAGACAGTTTTTACTGGCGGTCGAACCGGATAACAAAAGTCCTACATAAAGTAATAGAGTCGGAGAAAAGATCCAATTACATCGATATCTGTTCATTATATCCCTACATTTGCAAAGTAGGGCAAATTTCCTATTTGCCCATCCTCAGGTCTTCCAGTAGGGAGCGACTGTACCAATCTCGACGTCACACAAAAAGTCGATGGACTTATTTAAATGCAGGTACTAGGCCTCCACAAAACTTGTTTCATCCCGTTTCTTCCATAAAGTTAAATGATAAATTTAATGTCCCCTGTGTTATTCCTGTGTGCTAAAATTTTACCGCAGGAGGATGTTCCCACGAAAATAGCGATAAGACCATTGTGGGAACATGGGTGGCCGACGAAATTGTCAAAAGCTATAGAAAAGGTTATAGGCATTATTGGCAGGTATACGAAGTTTAGTTATGAAAAAACGGAGCAGTAGATGACAAGGTCAGGTGTGTTATTTACTGAAGATGATGAATAAATTATTAAAATTCAAACAAAAGAAGCGAAGCGGTGGCCATCTAACTTGCAAAACTGAGCCAAAGAAAAACGAGCCTATATTAT